CGAGATATTAGTTCTTGGACCCCGCCTTTCTAATCAATCTATTTTTCCTCTATTATGCCTACTACATATAGATCTCTCTAACACGCACATGCCCAGGAAGCAGCCCGAAGCAACTGTCTAACTCCCAAGTACATATTTACTGGTAGTGAACAGGCGTATCCTGGTGAAAGAAACTCTGCCCATTTGTTTCCGCCTTTGCAGGGAATCGAACCCGGTGTGTGGTGTGTTTTAGGACTACGACCCCTAGGCGCTATCTACTCAGCCGCGAGACCCCCTCGCAGAAAGCGAAACGACAAATCCGAGGGCCTTCGCGTATACTTAAGACATTATCAGAAGATGAAAACACCCCATTTTCTGTCATAATACTTTGTCTAAGTTATTGTTTTCCTTGTTCATGTCTTAAATAGTACATGAGAGCTGTCGGATGTACCATTCCACTTGTATATGTGATAACTTTTGCATATAGTAACCTCTTGTAATCTTTTTAATTTTGAGGCAATTGTAAGTAAAATCAATCATAGATGAAAAGAGAAATATATAAATAAAAATAGATTTGAGTAGAACTGAGATAACTATCTGGTGGAGAAGCCTAGCACAAGACCAGAGACACCCAGCACTGCGTGGATGGTGAGAAGAAGCTGTTTTCTTCGCCAAATGCTGGTGCAAGCTTGGAGGTCAGTGTAGCATACAAGTTAAATCTAGTAAGTGAATGAGTCTGTTTAAAAAATCTGCAAAAAGAATTTTGAAAAAAGGAAGTTTGACTATTAATTTTTCATTCCAGCCGCCGTTGTCGGCAAGTATGCACCACCACTGTAGGTCACTGAGGTGAGACACCATACGGTGTCGAGAAGGTGTACAGGTCATCTTAGGAAGGGTAATCGGATCTGTCTCCTACTTCTTAGACAAAAATAAGACAACCCATGTCGTAGGCCTCAGGCTACGACATGGGTTCTTGGTGTTAATTTAAATTTTTGGAATTATAATATAAATCAAAATAAAGTATTATTGTACCAGAATTTACCCATCGTTAAATAACTACATATGAATAGTCCACTTGCCAATCCTATGATAGTTCAGTACTACTTCTCCCCAGTCTACCATGTTGAATCATAGAAATATGTAATTCATAGCTAATGTTTTATAAAGTTTTAATTGCAATATTTCCTGTGCTTATTAACATGAGAATACTATCTGAATAATTAATTATCTGCCGTTACAAGAAGCCAAGCAAAATGTAAAGATAGTCATCTAGAACTATTGACTGGTGGAAGTGTGTCACGCACAAGACAATGGACAAGATATAAGAATGTAAATTCAAGCGTCAACAGAGAGGCAGTAAAGATGTCATGCAGAAGGGTACAGACGCAGAGAATCATGCAGTAACTGACGCAAAACGCAGGCAGTTTACTCATGCAGTAAGGCGTTGCGTGAAGTGAAGGGATCCCCCCCTTGGGCCCCCACCGTTTCGTCCGGGCCAACTCCAGCGCCTCTGTGGCCGTTGTTGACTTGAGCAGTTAGGTTGCTGTGTTCTCAGCACGTCCCATAAGGTTGATGTGTGCTCAGCACCTCCCATAAGGTTGCTGTGTGCTCAGCATGTCCCATAAGTTTGCTGTGTGCTCAGCACGTCCCAAAAGGTTGCTGTGTGTTCAGCACGTCCCATAAGGTTGCGGTGTGCTCAGCACGTCCCATACCAAGGCTATTTTCCGGTACCAGTCTACCTTTTTCTATACACTATACAATTTACTGACCAGCTACTTCATTGTCATGTGTGCTAACTGTAATAACACTCAAACTGAAGTGAGACTGGCGTTCAAAAAGGTGATTTGCGTGACGATAATGATGCCAGGTGACTCTAGCGCCATTGTTGTGAGGCTACAAGCCGTCAACGCTAACTACTTAAACATGGTGAAGTGTGAAAGTTCACACGAGAGGTATGGGGGTGGGAGGGAAACAGACTACCAGCCTCGAGTTAGGCTTCCTTCCACCTTCAGTTACTGTGTATTTCCATTTTGGGGGGAATTTCATTAACTCTAAAGGGACATTGTTAACTCATAATAAGTGAAATGGGACAATGTAAACTTATTGCGAGTTAAAAAGTTATTTTCCTATGCCAGTAAATGATGTTTGAAGCTACCATCAAGTTAAAAAGGCTGCTGTTGGAGTAATTACAGGTTGTGGAGTCTCTGGTGATGAGAGTATGGGGCACATAAATTATAGCAACAACTGCTGGTATGAGTTGTTTTGATGATGCGACGCTGGTGAAGCTTTGCTGGTGTTCTTGTTAGTGTCAAAGCGAGCTCTGGTCAAGGCTCTGCCACCTTTATATATATGTTGTGTCAAGTGACAGCACTGACAACTTGAACCAACGTAAAGTGCTCAAACTTGCTTTTGTGAAAATATTATCTTCTCTCCGTTTAGTGATTAATGTGTTTGAAGTTTTATTGCCAATTGTTGGTAAGTGATAAAGCATGATTAAAAGTGTATTAATTAGAAATTTCCATCATGCGTATTCTGGATTGAGACCCATGCAATTACATGCCCAGTGCGCATGCGTCGGGACTGTGACCCCCCTTCCCTAGACTCATGTTTAACCGGCCCTTCTAAAGGCTGTTTAGTTCGTTCCAGTGGCACTGAAAGAAGTCAGTTGGAGGCTTGTAAACTTCAGCCCACCGTCCGATCCAACCAGATCCCACAGTCTCCCCGCTCCCACACCTCAAGGGTGACATGGGCGGGCGGTGGACGGGGAGTTAGCAGTAGGATGGCCGGTGAGGGGGCGGTGGTGAGGGCGGCGGCAGTAGTCCAGCAGCACTGCCTGGAGACCCCCGCACCCCGCAACTCTGTTAGATGTTGGGGTAGCGGAGCGGATGGCGAGGATGCTGGAGAGGCGGCCTGCATAGTCTAGTGGCAGGTTGGGGTCATGCGCCGTGCAGCACCTGCTGGGACATGGCTGCTGTGGGCGGGCACCACTTACCCTCATGCCCTGCATACGGGACATGGCCCTCAGGGGTCGCAGAGCGCGCAGCGTTCTCATCGTTTTGAACGCCTGAATTTTGCCTGCTCCAGCCAGGGTTGCCACAAGGTTAATCAAGGACACCTGGAAATCAGAGCCCACAAGAGTTACACATAGAAAATAGAGAGGCAGGAAGAGGTTGACGCTCACTACAGTAGAAGTATAAACACGTAGGGGCCCGCACGCCAGCGGCCAACACCATACACTACAGGGAGAGATATTAGTTAGACACAGTTCCCAGCCACAACCACCGGCTGGCTGGCCACTCTCCACAACCGGGGTTGATTGTGGGGGGGGGGGAGGTATACGGAGGATGATTGTAACTGGGGTGGTGGAAGATGGTCAGGACAACTGGCGTGGTGGGGGTCAGGAGGCTATCGTAAACAAAGAGTGGGCTGGAGAAATAAGAGGTAGCCACTTTTCCCGAGAGATATAGTATTAAGTCTCTGCAAGACACACAGAACAGAGAGCAAACTGTAGCATTATAATCTCCAGAGGTAAGACAGGGCGCCACCGCTGTCTACCTCACGAAGATAGAAAAGGAGTTTATGTCTAGTTTAAACAGTGGAAGACCAGGTACATAATATATACATATATATATACATATATATATATATATATATATATATATATATATATATATATATATATATATATATATATATATATATATATATATATATATATATATTATTAAATATGACCGAAAAAGTAAGATTAATAATTCTAACACGAATTTTCTCAATCTTTCGTACATTTCTTTTCACTGTTGGAGGTAAATCAAAAATCAATTCTCCAAAATTCATTTTTTTGGAGAATTGATTTTTGATTTACCTCCAACAGTGAAAAGAAATATACGAAAGATTGAGAAAATTCGTGTTAGAATTATTAATCTTACTTTTTCGGTCATATTTAATAATATATGTCTACAGGAAAGACTGCTACCAAAATATACTAATATATATACTATATATATATATATATATATATATATATATATATATATATATATATATATATATATATATATATATATATATATATATATATATATATATATATATATATATAAGAGCTTCGAACAGTGATTGTCATTTAATCGTGTGTTTTCTGTAATATGTATATATATATATATATATATATATATATATATATATATATATATATATATATATATATATATATATATATATATGTCGTACCTAGTAGCCAGAATGCACTTCTCGGCCTACTATGCAAGGCCCGATTTGCCTAGTAAGCCAAGTTTTCCTGAATTAATATATTTTCTCTAATATTTTTCTTATGAAATGATAAAGCTACCCATTTCATTATGTATGAGGTCAATTTTTTTTATTGGAGTTAAAATTAACGTAGATATATGACCGAACCTAACCAACCCTACCTAACCTAACCTAACCTATCTTTATAGGTTAGGTTAGGTTAGGTAGCCGAAAAAGTTAGGTTAGGTTAGGTTAGGTAGGTTAGGTAGTCGAAAAACAATTAATTCATGAAAACTTGGCTTATTAGGCAAATCGGGCCTTGCATAGTAGGCATAGAAGTGCGTTCTGGCTACTAGGTACGACATATATATATATATATATATATATATATATATATATATATATATATATATATATATATATATATATATATATATATATATATATATATATATAATAGTGAGACCGTGGAGAGTAGAGAGATAAAAGGGAAGCAAGGGAGAAGAGGTATATAGGGGAGGAGCTATGGGAGTACGAGAGCAGGGAAGACAGGAGGTGAGGGCCAGCGGTCAGCAGAGGTTGTGGTGGCGGCGGAACACAGGTCAACGAACACTGAATATGGACAGTATAGCGGCGTTGCCCATGCGGCCAGCCATCGCCGGGATCCCCCACCCACTCTTGTGGGGTGATGAGTGGTTGTGGGCGAGCATGGGCTACCCACGAGGACATCACAACCAGGGCACCTGCCCTCACCGCGACACGCTACTTACTCTCATGCCCTCCCAGCGCGACACTGCCCGGAGAGGCCGCAGGGCGCGCAATGTTCTCATCGACCTGAACGCTGGTATGTCGTCAGCTCCGGCCCAAATAGCAGCCAAGTTTATCAGTGACACCTACAAGACCAAGTGTGTTACAGGGAGTGGGGATACCCTACCCTCTCACACACACACTCACTCACTCACTCACACATACACACACACTCTCACTCAATCACACACACACACACTCACTCACTCACACACACACACACACACTCACTCACTCACACACACACACACACACTCACAAACTCACTCACTCACTCACACACTGCTTCCTATGTGTGTGTGTGTGTGTGTGAAAAAAAAATAGTTAGTAGTTAGTAGCAGTTGATTGACAGTTGAAAGGCGGGCCGAAAGAGCAAAGCTCAACCCCCGCAAGCACAATTAGGTGAATACACACACACACACACACACATACACACACCTGTGTGTGTGTGTATGTGTATATATATATATATATTTATTTATATCACACACCTGCCTACTCATTCAAAACACATTTATTCATCTTCATTCAAAAAAAGAATATTAATTTCAAATATAAAATAAAGGTTGACTTTTGGAAGGGGTTTCCAGAGTGGTGCAGGCGTGGCGTCTGCTTCCAGAGGTAGCCTAGGAGTTTCTCACCCATATATACCTGCCCACATGCAGTAACATCAACACAACCATACATAAAGAAATGGGGTTATATTTACAATCATCACTGTACCTTAAGTCTGTCAATGCTTAAATAATACTGGAACAGAGACGTGCGACAGACAACTGAAAAATGTTCAGGTCTGAAATTTGTTGTTTTTTACTTATCCTTCACAACCCAAACAGTTTTTTTATTTTATAGTAGATAGCTTCTCAATAAGTCAATTTTAAAATACACAATGCATTCGCTATCCAATGAATATCAGCTAAACATTCACGGGTACATATAATCTGGAGTGGGAAGGGTTGATAGGGACGAGACTATAGCTTAAGAGAGAGCTGGGAGTGGGGCTGTGGTGGCTCCACACCGGCGACCCCCCGCGCCTAGCTCCTGGCACCTGCTGTGGCCTCTCCACACATAAACACGATGGGGAAAAGGGAAATATAGGAGTGGAAGAAGAAATAAGTGAGAGAGACAGACAGACAGACAAAGAGAGAAATAGGGTGAAGGGATAATCGTAACTGTATTATTGGGAAGAATGGAAGCATCATAAATGACAAACGTTACATATTAGTATGTATATTAACATCCATGTGTTTTTATCCCTACACACGTATGGATACATATGGGCACACTTAAATGCATTCACACAGAGACATACACACGCACAGTTGTGTCCTCTTTATGTTGAAGAACATGTCCAGGGTTTTGCAGCGTTTATTTAACAAGATAAATCAGAAGGCAGAGATGCAAGGATAATGATCCGGTCCAGGATTCATTAAGTATTTAAGTGTCCACTGACAAAACTTTTCCTTAGGATTGGCTTGGATTTATTAAACAGTTCTCGAGATCCAAAACGTCACGTGGTTGTCTAAACCAGTAATAACCCTGGGTTGTGAAGTTTGGAGCTCACAAACTGCTTATATATACAAACTAAGCCACAAAGGTAGAGGAAAGATGTAAAGGTTTCGTAAGTGGATGACTTATGTGCTTGATGAACGTTAGGTCTAGGAGGCAGTGGGTAGCAGAAAATGGTGGGTGATAATGTCGGTGTTAGTTTGGATGTGATTAGTGGATGTGGCAAGCAGCACCGGACACACCAAGCTCAGCTAGGCGATCATAGCCAGTGCTGGCGACCAGATTGCAGCGACGAATCTGCCTGACGTTAAAAATTCAGGCGTAGTGATATGAAGAGATACGAAGATACGGGATATGAAGAGAGGGGGCTGTAGACCCCCTTTCCTTATCTTCTTATGAGAAACCTTAAGATATGAGATATATCTTATCTTATAAGAAGCCTTATATCTTCATAACTCAAGGCTGATTGAGGGCCGTGTGGTGGCGGTCCGGTCAGCCGCACTGGGCCGCCTGGCGCGGTGGGTGATGGTACAGGGGGTGGTACCACGACAACACCTTGTAGGTGTGCCTTAGAGATGAGAGGCGCTGTATAAACTGTAGCCTGTGCTTACATAATTATATTTCACTGCTATACAAATATTAACACTCATACACAGACACATGTTTATATATACAAACATGGAGTCATACATACACACGAACATGCTTGAATATACATGTACCAACCCATCCTGCAATAGTGACAGTTCGTATAGTGACTATTTGGTCAAACATACACAAATAGACTGTTGCACTCAAAAAGTTAAAGTTTTGTTTTATTAGCCCACATAGCATACTTAACAAATTTGAAAAGTAACTCAGAACCTAATGTGACCTGTCCAATTTGTGAATAAGTAACCCTAGGCCTACTATACGTTATCTTAGGTCTAGTATAGTACATATATGTCCTACACAAGCCTTAGGAGTATTACACTGTTTTTCCTGCCCTCTACAAACTTAATGGCACAAAACGTGAACACTGTTGGTTGCAGTACTCCATTCTTGTGTGTTCCATAACATGTGTGCTGTAAGTACTATCATTTTAGGGAGATGAGTTGTACACACACACACACACACACACACACACACACACACACACACACACACACACACACCAACTCACCATCACAATAAGAAAGTCGAGCCAGCACCAAGCGTTGGTGAAGTACTTAGCGAAGCCGAGAGCCACCCACTTGATCAACATCTCAATGAAGAAGATGACGGTGAAGATCCTGTCCATATAGTAGAGTACATCCTGGAGGACCGGCCGATACTTGAGGTCGACGTCCTCCAGCGCTAAGGCCAGTGACGACAGCAGGATCATAGTGATGACAGCCGTCTCGAAGTACTTGTTCTCTATAAGTTGGTAAGTCTTCAGGCGCAGGTGCCCCCATCCTTGCCAGAAGGGGGACTCCGGGTCACCCTGCCATGAGTGGAATTGCCATCACAAATGGAGTCAATATATGTTTTACAACCAAATATATAATCAATAAAATCAAATCAGTTATATATTTTTTTAAAAATTAAATAATGATCAAAGATTTGGTCTTTGATTCCTAATCCTTTCTGATATCATGCTAAAAAAAAGCGTTACCTTGAGATATTCATAATTTTCTGCTACGACTACATGTTTACATAAACATCCAACTGCTATACAGTTGCATAGATAATTTTGGTTATTGTACATGGTCAAGACACACGGTAATTCTATACTGATTTACCTGGTAACCCAGATCACAATTGCGACGTTAGACGTGTTCATACGATCAAGTGGTTTCGTATTGGGCTTAAAGCTTAACAATAGTGGGAGAGTTAATAATTAAGATAACTATAATAACTTACTGGCCAACCAGGAAAATATGCCATTGTAATGAAAATAGTCCAGAACACAACTAAAGTGTGAGTATATATAAACTGTTACATGATCACCCTCAGTATTCGGGTACTGGGCTCTCATACCAGTCATCACTAACTCTATGTTCACGTAACTTTTCTATGTGTATTTGTATACTAAAAGTGTATCATATTGTGTAACGTGACAGTCTATGTTCGTTTATGTGTGGCATTCCTGCACCAACCTTTGCTATAACATTGTATAATCACAGAGATAATCATTTGTAATCACGCCACCTTGGCTCCAGGGCAGGGCGAGCTAGTCAACGCCAGGTAGAGGCTAGAGGCCACAGGCAGTCGACTTGGGCGCTCGTCTGGAGTAACACTTATATGGTCTTAGTGATGGCAGTTCAGTAAGAGTTGTGGTGTTGGGTAATATATATTGTAGCTCTTTGCAATTTATACTTTGTTGTTTTCAGTGTCCAAGTTATTGGAATTGAAATTAGTGTTAAAGCTTTATTTTTTTTTAAGTCATCCATATTAAGTGTACAAAGACAATTGTATTTGCCGGTGCTAAAGTACCTTTTATTTAGTTTTATTATATTAACTTTTGTTTTAACTTCGGCTTTTTACTCTGCTCTTGTTTCCTCATACTCATATTTAAGTTTAAATGCGCTTTTTTGTTTTGTTATGGTACGTTAGCAACCCATCAGCTGGGTATAGCTGCATAAGCTTACTTAACGCGGCAACACTAAAAAGTGAGGGACTTTTATATTATTATTATTAATACATTTAGGACTGTGACTGTTTAGGTAGCTGCATTTGTGCAGCTACCCTAGATTATATGAAGGGGAGTACAGTGTGTCAAAAAGCTAGCTACGTGATGCTAGTAGCTAAAATCACGTAGCCAGCTCTGTATGACTAACCGTCACACAAGATGGTTAGTCATTCAGAGGCATGTGAAAAGTAGTCTGCACTGGCAAACTCTGGATCCATTTATAAGGATATCATCATCAACACAAGAGTGAATAAGGTAGAAGTGATACTAAAAGTCCTCATCTCGCAGGATGGTTAGTCATACAGGGCCATATGTTCAGTAGCCTGCACTAGCAAATTTTGGATGCATTATGAGGAAGTAAGGGACACTTCTCAGTGTACATGTTCCTGTGACCAGGTGGTCCTGAGAGCCCGGTGGTCCTGTGAGCCAGGTGGTACTGTGAACCCGGTGGTCCTGTTAGCCAAATGGTACTGTGTAGCCAGGACAAGACGTCACACGATCACGGTAAAACATATTGTAGCCAGGGAAACAAGGCTGTGGCCGGTTTCTGACCAGGCCTCCTGTCAGGTACAGGAGACAGCACTTAGTCACTATGATCAAAAAGCTTTTGGAAGGAATATGAGGATAAGGATTTGAGAAAAGGAGGAAAGGAATGGTGCTCAACCACACGGACGATCGGGGGATTGAACGTCGACCTGCAAGGAGCAAGGGCGTCACTCTACCGTCCATTCCAAGTGGATGGTACCTTCTGGCATTGTGATTTATGTTACGACACTGACAAATCATGTGTGTTGTGTCAATGCTCCTTACTGACGTAATCAGTAATATGACTATTTTGTCTCGAGTATAAACCTACAAAATTAAAAGTAAAAAAAAATACGTCTCAAATTGATTTTTTGCAACTGCAACAGAAGTGGCAGTGTATAACTCTGTTTTCACTTTAGTTACCTGGGAATCTATAGGAAAAAACACAATGTTTATTGTTTCCTTTTGTCTGTCTAATCTACATGGTGGCCCATGAGTCAGACCTACATGGTGGCCCATGAGTCAGACCTACATGGTGACCCATGAGTCAGACCTACATGGTGACCCATGAGTCAGACCTACATGGTGGCCCATGAGTCAGACCTACATGGTGACCCATGAGTCAGACCTACATGGTGGCCCATGAGTCAGACCTACATGGTGGCCCATGAGTCAGACCTACATGGTGGCCCATGGGTCAGACCTACATGGTGGCCCATGGGTCAGACCTACATGGTGGCCCATGAGTCAGACCTACATGGTGGCCCATGAGTCAGACCTACATGGTGGCCCATGGGTCAGACCCACATGGTGGCCCATGGGTCAGACCTACATGGTGGCCCATGAGTCAGACCTACATGGTGGCCCATGGGTCAGACCTACATGGTGGCCCATGGGTCAGACCTACATGGTGGCCCATGGGTCAGACCTACATGGTGGCCCATGAGTCAGACCTACATGGTGGCCCATGAGTCAGACCTACATGGTGGCCCATGAGTCAGACCTACATGGTGGCCCATGGGTCAGACCTACATGGTGGCCCATGAGTCAGACCTACATGGTGGCCCATGAGTCAGACCTACATGGTGGCCCATGAGTCAGACCTACATGGTGGCCCATGAGTCAGACCTACATGGTGGCCCATGAGTCAGACCTACACGGTGGCCCATGAGTCAGACCTACACGGTGGCCCATGGGTCAGACCTACATGGTGGCCCATGGGTCAGACCTACATGGTGGCCCATGGGTCAGACCTACACGGTGGCCCATGAGTCAGACCTACATGGTGACCCATGAGTCAGACCTACATGGTGGCCCATGAGTCAGACCTACATGGTGGCCCATGAGTCAGACCTACATGGTGGCCCATGGGTCAGACCTACATGGTGGCCCATGGGTCAGACCTACATGGTGGCCCATGAGTCAGACCTACATGGTGGCCCATGAGTCAGACCTACATGGTGGCCCATGGGTCAGACCCACATGGTGGCCCATGGGTCAGACCTACACGGTGGCCCATGGGTCAGACCTACATGGTGGCCCATGGGTCAGACCTACATGGTGGCCCATGGGTCAGACCTACATGGTGGCCCATGGGTCAGACCTACATGGTGGCCCATGGGTCAGACCTACATGGTGGCCCATGGGTCAGACCTACATGGTGGCCCATGGGTCAGACCTGTGGAAAATTTTCCACCAAAATTATAGCATAACATGTCTGAGTAGCATGGTCTATGAAAGCACATGGACCAGACATGGGTATTTATAGTAGCAGTCAAGGTCTCTCAAGACAAAGAGTGTGTCAAGTCAGCATAATACGACCATTTTGTGAACTACATCTCAGGAAACCCTCCTGTAGAATGAATCAATACCAGGATATGTAATTAAATTTGATAGCTCTAAGCATATCAAGGTAATATGCCAAAATAAATACATATACTTAATAAATGATTATTTAACCAAATACTTTGTTTAACGATTGTATAAATGGATCATTAAAACAGGTAGGGCAACCAATACCCGCCTTGGGGTGGATCGCATTAGTGTCAAGATGCTGTCAGTTTAGTAAACTAAACTCCCCCCGCCATGAGAACACACTCCACGGTACGGACTCCTGGTTCAACCTTGAAGCCGAGTGGACGTCTGGATACCTCCTCCGCCTGTTCACGTCTTGTTTTCGTGTTTTTGCTTTGCTACTGCCGTTTGGCATCCCTTTTCAACGGTCCGATTGTACGACGCCTGGCGCACATATCGCCTTGGGTCACGGGATTGAAGATATTTTTTTTTTTGGCGTGTTCTGGCTGGTTCTCCCGACGGGGTGACGGTGTTCGGGGGCCGGCTTGGCCGATAGGTGCCGGGGGTTGGTGGGTCTTGATGGGCTCCTGGTGTGCCCTCAGTCGTGGTGGGCAGCTGGTTTCTGCTCTGCCGGAGGACACTGGATGACTTTTGTGTTTTCGTTGGGGCAGAGATTTTGGTTTTGCTACCCTGTATTCTCTGTGTGGGGCGGGGCCAATGCTTGTCACCCTGAGGGATTCCTGGGGGCTCCCCAATCATCTGCCTGTCTGCGTTTCTTTGCCACATGGCATATTAGTTTCCCGTGATTGGCGTTACTTATTTCGCGATTTGGCTTTGCGTTTCACCATTACGGGCTTTGCTATTAACCCAACCGGGTACGCCAGGGCGCATCCGATCCCACGATTGTTGTCGCCCTTAAATCAACAACACTCCACGGTGGGACTCCTGGTTCTACCTTGACGGCGAGCAGACATCTGGACACCTCCTCCGCCTGGGAGCCGCTGGATCACATTCTGTTTTGTGTTTTGCATTTGATACTGCCGTTTGGCATCCCTATTCAATGGTTTGGTTTGTACGACGCCTGGCGCAAATATTGCCTTGGGTCACAGGATTGTTGATAGTTTTTTTTTTGGCGTTTTCTGACTGGTTCTCCTGGCAGGGTGACGGTGTCTGGCGCCGGCTGGGCCGAGAGGTGCTGGGAGTTGGGGAATCCTGGTCACTTCCTGGTGTGCCCTCGGGCGTGGTGGGCGGCTGGTTTCTGCTTTCCAGAGGGCACCGCATGACTTTTCATTTTAGTTTGGGGCCGAGTATATAGTTTTGCTACCCAGTGTTCTCTGTGTGGGGCGGGGCCAGTGCTTGTCCCCTGAGGGACTCCTAGGGCTCCCCAATCATCTGCCATTCGGTTTCGCAATTAACCATTCAAGGGTCGCTGGGGTGCTTCCGATCCCACGATTGTCGTCGCTCTTAAATCAACAACAATACCCCACGGTGTTCAAGCTGTTTATTTGCCGCCGTTTAACATCCACGAATCTCAATGGTTGTCAACAGCACATAATATGTGTATAAACAATAAGACACATGATTTAGTGTTTTGAGTGTGTCTTGCCAAGAAACAATGAGAGCAGTGTGTGTGAGTACATTGTCGCCACAGCAGTGATGCCTCACACCCAAGTAAACATAGCCATTCCACCTCATGGGTACACTCCATAGTCGTCTAAGCTTAGTTTTAGCCGTCTATCTTCCGTGAGCCCCTAGTTGGTGGTGTAAAACTTCACATAAATATGTATAAACAAGAGGACATATGATATTTATGAAATAAGGGTGTGTCTTGCCCCAAGTTGAGTGGAGTGTGAGCAACACTGGACTCCTGGAGCCAGAAGCCGATGGAATCTAGATAACACCATTTCAACATCAGCAGTGAACAACACTACTGGCCCTACAAGAGAATTAAATCTTTGTACAAGAAGATAGAGCTCCATACGTGCATCTTAACTAAATAAGGGAGGCTGGTGGTGTAGTAACAATAGTAATTGGATCCAATTCTTTGTGTCACTAACCCCGTTATTTTGCAGGTGCAGTTAAACCATGGGCTTTAAAGCTCACCTCAGTAAGTAAATTACTTGTTATTAAAATAAAAATATACTAACTAGGTTAATCAATAGTTAACAAATCTGTATATATTGTGTAGACACAATATATTGCAATTGCTAAGATAAATTAAAGTATACATTTGCAATAGATCAATTCATAACATTAAAGAATTAAATAATCTTGTCATTGTTCATCATAATTCATATGTCGCAAGATACCAGATCAAAAGGATAGGCTAAAATAATTTGTAACCGTATAAATGTTCACTGCATTATACATATATTACTTTTTACTAAGTGGTAAGTGGAGATTTGTTAATCTACACACCAAAACATGCTAAAGTTAATTTAATTCACACACCAAAGCAAGTTAATGACAGCAGCACCATTCTTGTTGGATCACCCTGAAAACTGAACACAGAGAATAGATACAGTCCACTACCTCACAGAGAAAACAAGTTTCCTAGTGGCCACTGGATATAACTATTGCCATTGAAGACAGCTAAATTGCCGTTATATTGGTAGTTAGGTCCTTATTTTAGGGAGCCAGAAGTTGCAAAATCCCACAAGACTTACAGAGTGACCCATGAGTCAGACCTACAGGGTGACCCACGAGTCAGTCCTACAGGGTGACCCATGAGTCAGTCCTACAGGGTGACCCACGAGTCAGTCCTACAGGGTGACCCACGAGTCAGTCCTACAGGGTGACCCATGAGTTAGTCCTACAGGGTGACCCACGAGTCAGACCTACAGGGTGACCCACGAGTCAGTCCTACAGGGTGACCCATGAGTCAGTCCTACAGGGTGACCCACGAGTCAGACCTACAGGGTGACCCACGAGTCAGACCTACAGGGTGACCCACGAGTCAGACCTACAGGGTGACCCACGAGTCAGTCCTACAGGGTGACCCATGAGTCAGTCCTACAGGGTGACCCATGAGTCAGTCCTACAGGGTGACCCATGAGTTCTGTGTCACTGTAGTGGAAGCTCAAAATAAATACGAATGCATTAAGAGTAATGTGATAAGGGAATATTTGACGAGTCTTTATGCATGAACATGGCACCAGTGTGCACGACCCACCAGTGTGCACGACCCACCAATGTGCACGACCCACCAGTGCGTATGACCCACCAGTGTGCATGACCCACCAGTGTGCATGACCCACTAGTGTGCACGACCCACCAATGTACATGACTCACTATGTACATGATCCACCAGTGTGCATAACCCATTATGTACACGATCCACAAGCGTACATAACCCACCAGTGTACATGACCCACTATGTACACCATCCACCAGTGTACACGACCCACTATGTACACGACCCACCAGTGTACATGACCCACCAGTGTGCATGACCTACTATGTACACGATCCACCAGTGTACATGACCCACTATGTACACGATCCACCAGTGTACACGACCCACTAGTGTACACGACCCACCAGTGTACACGACCCACCAGTGTACACGACCCACCATTGTACATGACCCACCGGTGTTCACGACCCACCAGTGTACATAACCCATTATGTGCACGATCTACCAGTGTACACGACCCACCAGTTACCATGCACAGCTCACCTTCCTCCCTCGAGCCGCCTCAGGACTCAGACCTAACAGCAATAAAACTCCGGGTCTTGCTACTCAAATACACTTTAGAGAGGGAAGTTTCTTTACGTGTCTTAAGGTAAGTTGCGATAAATTGCATTTATAGGAAATTTTATGAAGCTTGCATTAAATATAGTAAGCTGAGGATAACACTAACCGCACACCAAGGACACTTCACATAACAGGCTTCTTTGAAGCAATCTGCAGGGTAATCGAGGATCACATCACTTCCGGAATCCATCATGGGTCCAGGAGCTTGCACGTCTTCCTCCACCACCTCCTCGTCGCCACTGGAACCATGGAAATCTGGAAGAAAATGTCTCCTTTGACTTAGAGTTGGAGAGAGTGTGTGGAGGTGGTAGGCATAAGTGTGTCCAGGGAGGCCTGAGTTAAACGAGACCTCAAGATGGTGGGACAAGGGGTGATATAGGTGGCGTGAGACCTCAAGATGGCGGGACGAGGGGTGATGTAGGTGGCATGAGACCTCAAGATGGCAGGATGAGGGGTGATATAGGTGATGTGAGATCTTAAGATGGCGGGAAAAGGGGTGATATAGGTGGCATGAGACCTCAAGATAGCGGGACGAGTGGTGATATAGGTGATGTGAGACCTCAAGATGGCGGGATGAGGGGTGATATAGGTGATGTGATACCTCAAGAGAAAAGGCATCCTGCGGTGTGGTGGCAGCAGTCCCCTGGACACCAGACCTACCCTGGCCACACCACATAAGCTGCAAGGAACACGTGACAGGTAAACAGGCCGCATAGGGAAGCGGCAGTATCGCAGCAACACCACGGTAGCGGTGTGGTCACTGGGTCAGGTAGGTGGCCAGGTACGTGACCAGAGGGAAAATAAACGAGACTTATGCTTGTGTTTTATGTGTTCAAAGGTCGGTGACCTGGCTTTAATGAGGTCAACTTGCACAGTTTTAAAATTAAAATGACAAAATATGACTACTTTTCGTAGTGACTGTTTAAACCTATTTAATCTTAACCTCAGATTGCTAAAATAGTATTCTATTTTAACCATCACTATAAAGCTATTACTTGGTGTACACCCTTATATATCGTGAACATACAGTGTTCTGCAAAGGAGGCTTGGCTAACAAAAGCACTGCTATTCATCAAAGTCAAAGGAGGCCCCAAAGTATCCCATATGAGTTTTGTTGATAGTTCCCCAATGACGGGACCAAGTGACAGGCCACAAATACTTTTTATTTTTACACTTGCTAATGATCCAGGACGGACCACAACGTCGGCATTTCCTTTATTTTCAGATGTGTAGGTTGTGTCAAGTGTCCTGCCACACTATTGTGACTCGGTGTCTGTATTTATGTAGAAAATATGCGTAAAAGTTGTATATATGTAGAAAATTTAACTAATGAAATAATTGGCACAAATGTTAACATCTTGTTGACAAGATCTTCCAAGTGATGGTGTTGTGACTGTCGTTGTCGGACTGCTTTTGTAGTGTGTCCAAACCTTCAAGTATAATCTATTACATTGAAACTCGTGCTAATATTTTTCATCAGCTTCCCAGTGTCCACAAAAATTGACATGAAGGAAGAAAATAAATTATTTTGATTTAATTAAAATTATTCACTTAAAATTTAAGTGAATAATTTATGCATAAAATAAGTTAACTAATATGGGACCCAAACCTGACCCTTGCTGAATACCGCTTATTATACCTCTTCATTCCTATTTCTATCCTATTGCCAGGTTTTATTTTATTACGGATTCCCCATTTTAATATACTGCCAGTCAAAACATTTTTGTTTAAAGATTATATGGAGTCTATTGTGTAGGAACAATGTCAAAAGCCTTCTGATATTCAAAGAATATGCAGTCTGTTCGTTCTTGTCTGAACTGAAGTCATCCTGCTCGTTGGATTCTAAAAGGTTTGTTGTGCAGGGCTGTCCTTCCCTATGTCCATGTTGTAATATAGTTAGTGCATTAGACCCGGCTTTACTATTCTCTCAAGATCCTTGGCGAGAATGTATGTCAGTGACAATGGAGTATGTTCAGCTGCTTCCGTGCCTCTCCTTCATAGTATATTCATAAGACTCTGGCTGCCTTCTCGTTTTCTAGGTATGTCCAGTGATGGTTTTATAGATCATCGTGAACACCTTGCTCATGGCCTCAGCAGCTTCTTTTATAAAAATTAGTCAACATGTCCCATTATCGAGGGCAGGAGCCTGCGCACATATATACTTTAGTCTTGAGGGTGTCTGGAGTGTCAGTGAGGGGTAGTACCTCAGAGCAGCCAACCCGTTCTCGCACTTTCATACAGTCAATATTGACTTATTAAATAAGTGCATATGTGACATACTAATTTATTGTGAATATTTTAGTTTACCTTGAAAATCTTCATAGAAAACACAGACCTTACCTAACCTTCTTAGTATGTTAAGATTAGCATCTTATTGCTTCGTAATTACAATTATTACTTAACCTATACCTATAATAGGTTAAGTAATAATTGTATTACAATTACAATTATTTTACAATTATATTACAATTATTATTTTACAATTATATTACAATTATTATTTTACAATTATATTACAATTATTATTTTACAATTATATTACAATTATTATTTTACAATTATATTACAATTATTACTTAACCTATACCTATAATAGGTTAAGTAATAATTGTAATTACGAAGCAATAAGATGCTTATCTTAACATACTAAGAAGGTTAGGTAAGGTCGGTGTTTTCTATGAAGCTTTTCAAGGTAAACTAAAATATTCACAATAAAATAGTATGTCACATATGCACTTATTTAATAAGTAAGTAAGTAATTATCAAAAGAAGGCACCAAACCGGGAAGGCTATGTAGCACCATCAAGTACGCAAAATAATCAGAGGGCGACTTATTTAATAAGTCAATATTGACTATACGAAAGTGCGAGAACGGGTTGGAGCAGCCGCACGTTTGGATGGTTTTGCCTGCTCTGGTCCCTACCTGCACTCAACTCTCACTTGTGGCTCCTAGTAGCTGTTTGCATGCAACAGCGGCCACATTCCGGTAAACTGCTTCGACTGGCGGACAAAACCAGGTAAGGGTAGCCGAAGGTTTGAGACTTTCAGTGAACTAAGGCTTATCTACCTACGCATGCGAAGACTAAACCTGGCGGACTGCGCAGAGGAAACCACCAGAATGGTTCAACAAGCATACCAGCAGTGTTGTAGAGCACAACTAGGGCACAGTGAGTCACGTAGAATACTGCTGGCCATCCACTACTTCCTAACCTATCTCCTGCCATCTCGATTTGTCTTGCCGCTGGACCCAGATAGGTCGGGGCGAGAGCGCGAGGCTGACGATCTGCACAACTCTCCCTCACTTTAATCCAAGTTAAGGACAGGTGACTTCAACCCATACTGCACAACCTCAAGTCCTGTGGCGATGGGCAATTGGCGAAGCAACAGGTGAGGATACAGTGGAAGCTGTAGTTACAGACCTGCATACAGGCGGCTCAGGGCATAGGGACGCTCTATACTGGACCGAAGCAGCATCAGAGTTCGGCAGCCCCCTGGGTGTCTGAGCCCGGATGTTGTCTCTTCAGGACACATTACGCTAACTTCCTTCGAGGAAGGGGCTAGAAAAGGTACCTTACCATAGCCTGCTTCAATTCACCCTGGCTAGCAAACCGCGGCGGTCGGGGATCCCTCACAGCGGTCGAATAAATACAATGAAAAAAGTGAGGGGGTGCTCAATCTCGGTATTTGGAACGTTCAAACTCTGCTGGATAACACCAAGGCAGAAAGACCTGAAAGGCGAACTGCACTAGTTGCAAAGGAAGTAGCGTGCGACAATGTGGGCATATCAGCACTCAGTGAAACACGATTGGGTGACTAAGGTTAGCTTACAGAACGTGGTGGTGGGTAGACCCTTTTCTGGGGTGGTCGCTGTAACGCTAAACGACGAGAAGCTGGCGTTTAATTTGCCATTGGATCCCACCTCGTTCAAAAACTTGCCAAGCTTCCAGAGGGCATCGACGACCGCTTATTGACGGTCCAGCTTCTGCTTGAGAGCAGGAGAAGTGCGATGCTGATCAGTACATATATTCCAACCATGACCAACCCAGATGACATCGAGGAAAAATTATCTCAGTCTTTCCTTATAGTTCAATCCCTTCAGCCCAGGAATGAGTCTTGCTGCATATCTTTAGACCTTTTCTACTTTCTCCTTGTCCTTTTTTAGGTAGAGGGTTCCATGCCGGTGACACATATTCAAGAGTGGGTCTTACCTTTGCTGTATATAGGGCCCTGAGGGCCCCACATAGTCGAAGTTCTGAAGGATACCCGGATGTTGGCCAGTATGTCATATGCCGCTGTTCTTGTTCTGCTAAGGTGGGTTTCTGGCATCATATTTGGGGAGTCGACATCAGGTGTCCACCCCCAGGTCTGGTCGAAGATTTTGTCTTCCCTTCATCCTATACTTCCGTAATGGTCTTCGCACTAATCTTTGTGTGTGTGTGTGTGTATTCTTTATCATATAATGCTTTGAAACTGCTGCCGGTTTTGGCCTCCACCACCACCACACTTGTTCCAGCCATCTACCATTATGTTCGCAAGTGATTTTTTTTATTTCTTTGGTAGCTATGTTTAGTTTGTTTAAATCTATGACCTTTTGTTCTTGGAGTTGCCGGTTTCAGGAATTCCTCTTTGTTAATTTGGTCGATCCCGGCTATTATTTTGTAAGCAGTGATCATATCACCTCTTTTTCTTCTATCTATGGCATATTTAACACATCTAGTCTCTCATCATAACTCTTGATTTTCAGGTCTGGAAGCCATTTAGTTGCATGTCTTTGCACCATGTGAACCTATCCTTGATAAGGTGGCAACTACTGTTTATCCTTGATAGGGTGGCAACTAAAGCCTATCCTTGAAACGGTGGTAACTACTGCCTATACTTGTTATGGTGGCAATTACTGCCTATCTTTGATAAGGTTTCAACTACTGCCTATCCTTGATAGGGTGACGGCTACTGCCTATCCTTGATAGGGTGGCAGCTACTGCCTATCTCTGTTAAGGTGCTAAGTACTGCCTATCTTTGTTAGGGTGTCAAGTACTGCCTATCCTTGTTAGGATGGCAAGTACTACCTATCCTTGTTAGGATGGGTGGCAAGTACTGCCTATCTTTGTTAGGATGACAACTACTGCTTGTCCTTGCTAGGATAGCAAGTACTGCCTATCTTTGTTAGGATGGCAAGTACTGCCTATCTTTGTTAGGGTGGCAAGTACTGCCTATCTTTGTTAGGATGGTATCTACTGCCTATCTTTGTTAGGGTG